GCATGATTCGTTTAGAGCCCGTCCGAAAAGCTGAAAAGCATACTCCTTGCGTCCGGGAAGGAGGGAGATTTAGTATCCAGGCCGGGAAAAGGGGACACTGTGTTTGCGACTCGCGACACCTTCCAAAACGCACCGTGCGTTGCGGCTGGAAGGGAGGGGCAGTGCGTTTTGCGAGACCGTCCAAAAAGCACCTAAACCCTAAACCCTAAACCCTAAACCCTAAACCGTTTTCGAAGCCTCCCAAAACGCACTTTGCTTTGCGGCCGGAAGGTCCGGCATGGCAGCAAACCTGAATTCCCCTCCTACTGTGTCTCTCGTGCATTTGGCTCGAGTCAGGGTTTGAGGTTTTGACGTTGAATTAGACCTTCCCCCTGATGTTAAACAGGGGGCTCCCCCAATAGAAACTTGGAAGATTTTATTGTTGTTATTATTAGGGGGTATTTTTATCACTACTGCCGCTTTTGAGGGGTCGTGCTCTTGCTCCTGCTCTGGCTCTTGCTCCCGCGCTGGCTTTTGCTCCTGCGCTTCTGCTACTTCTCTTGCGCGTGCTCCTGCTGCTGTTGCTGTTGCTCCCGCCTTTGCTCCTGCTCTTGCTCTTACTGTTGCTCTTGCTGATGCTCCTGCTTTTGCTGTTGCTCTTACTCCTGCTCTTGCACTAACTCCTGCGTTTGCTTTTGCTCTTACTGTGCTCTGAGGGCACTTGGAGCCTCGAAACCTCCCCCTAATTCAGAACAGGTTTCAAAGGACAGGGATGATTTCAGGAGGATTCGCCCCAATGTGTTTTTATTAGTAGGGGGGGTGCTTAATCAGATGCCAATCAGATGGGGAAGCGATTAAACGAAAATGATTGCCAATGTGAGCTTTCCCGGCCTGCAAAGACACACTGCGGCAATCTGGAGGCAAGGTGCGTCCTCAAGGTGCGAGGTTTTCACATTGTGAAAGGAGAAGATTGCCGCTGTGCGTTTTGTCCGGCCTGTAAAAATGCTCTGCGGCAATCTGGAGGGAGAAAGACCACTAGTCGAAAAAAGCGCACCAACACGCACAACACGCAACAAACACGGAACAAACACGCAACAAACACGCAGACATCTAACACGCGTGTGTTTTGACTGCTTTGCCTACTGGCCCCAAAACCACTCCGGAACTCGAAGATCTGAAGCGTCCTTCTTCCGGGCCCTTGTTGCCAATCATACAAAGGTATGGAACATTGGTGATAAGGTCCTCTTATACTTCCCAGGTAGCTATGCTGCAATAAAGAGCCTCAAAACCCTTTTCTGATTCTGGAGGTGCCTCAGTTATACCCTGCTAGCCCCTACTCCCTGGCCCTTTGCATCTCTTCTGCACCTTGTAAACCCTAAACCCTAAACCCTGAACCTGGAAGGCCTTGAGCTTTAAACCCCAACAACTTTAGGCCCTAACCCCCCTGAGCCCTGTAGACAACATCGCTCCAGAGGCTGGAGAATCCTAAAGCCAAGACCCCTGAACCCCACACGAAACCCTAAACCCAAAACCTGTGAACCCTAAACCCTGAACCCTATAAGCCCCAAACCGTAACGGCCCTAGTGACCCAAACCCTCTGAAGCCCAGAACCCGACAGGAAACATCTTCCAGAAGCTGGAGAAGGTCCAGGGAGCTCTGGAGATGTGCCAGAAGGCACTGAACGAGTTCATGGCCCCTTGGCAGAAAGGGGTTCTGCGGTTTAGGGTTTAGGGTTTAGGGTTTAGGGTTTAGGGTTTAGGGTTTTAAGGTTTAGGGGGGTTTGGGGTTTAGAGGTTTCTACAGAAGTTTATTCTGCAACAAGGTTGAGAGTTTAGGGTTTGAGGTGGGGGGGGGGGACCCTCAGCCTGTCGAGATTTACGGTTTTGAGGTCTAGGAGCTTATGATTTGCGTTTAGGTGTTCACCAGGGGCATTTAGGGCTTTGAGCTTAAGAAATTGTCACCGGTTTCTTTGCACTTCATCCTCCATCCCGAACAAACTTTCGAAAAAACCTGCCCTGCAACACCTTGCACCAAGTCTCGAATCCCTAAACTCTAAACTGCCGGAACAAAGACGTAGGGTTCAGCCGGATAAAGAGGGCGGAATGATGAGTTGAACTCCCTTGTAGCCCCTTCATCTTGCCACTATAGTGTGTCTCCAGACACTTTTTTCTCTCTTTTTTCAGGCCTCTACGGTCTAAACTACTGCCAAGACTCCACCCTACTCATTCGGGCCCGACATTCACAGGTTCTCAGGCGAGCTCCGGATTGCAAAAATGGGGCATTAGGTAGGCTTTTTGAGACTCTAGGTCCCTCTAGGTAGGGTTTAGGGTTTAGGGTCAGGTTTAGGGTTTAGGGTTTAGGGTTGTGGGTCTAGATACTTTATACTTCCTCTTATTTTTCAGAGGCTTGAAAGGGCCGAACTAGGGTCTTGTGCTGCTCCAGTATTCAGGGGTTTAAAGTTCAAGGGTTTAGGATTGTTGGGTTGCGGGGATTGGGTCTAGGGTCTCGGTTTTGCCGTTGTGTTTCGCGTACCTTAACCCTAAACCCTAAATCCTAAACCCTAAACCCTAAACCCTAAACCCCAATACGGACGGCAAGAAGTAAACCCTGATGAGGACAGCAAGAAGCGGGCCTTCCCCCGCTTCTACTTCATGTCCTCCAACGATCTGCTAGATGTGCTGAGCAACGGCCCCTCGGCATGCCAGGGTTAGGGGTTGGGGTTTAGGGTTTAGGGTTTAGGGTTTAGGGTTTAGGGTTTAGGGTTTAGGGTTTAGGGTTTAGGGTTTAGGGCTAGGGTTTAGGGGTTTGGGTTTAGGGTTTAGGGTTTAGGGTTTAGGGTTTAGGGTTTAGGGTTTAGGGTTGGGGTCTAGGGTCTAGAGGGAGTCGGGAGTTTAGGGTTTAGGGTTCTCCTACTAGGCGCTTTGACTGTTATCTGTGGAGTCCTGTAGGGGCTTTAAAGAAGGGTTACTACGAGGCCCCAAGAAACCTGCACCGTAAATCGGTGCGAAGCGTGCATGGACTTAAGCCCCAGACTGGTGAGCCAGTGAGCCCAAAACTTCTGTAACCGAAAGCGTAAGCCCTATGCCTATAGCGTTCATGTGCCGTGATCTCTTCCAAACCCTCAGTCCTAGATTGCCTTGAACCCGAACGTGCCAAGCCTTTGTGAACCCTACACCCTAACTGTCCCAAGCCGTTCTGAAGACGCTCCCCCCAAAATGCTAAACCCTAAACCCTAAATCCTAAACCCTAACCCCTGAACCCTAAACCCTAAACCCTGAACCCTAAACCCTCCTGAACCCTGAACCCTAAACCCTAAACCCAAAACCCTAAACTGCTCTACACCCCGATCTCCGATGCCCCTTTCAGCCCTCAGCTCTGTGGAACTCCTCTGGCACCAAGGCAACCAGCCGGCCAAGGCCCGTTTGGGAAGTGGAGGTTTAGGGTTTTGGGGTTTTTTAGGTTTAGGGTTCAGGGTTTAGGGTTCAGGGTTTAGGGTTTAGGGTTTAGGGGTTTAGGGTTTAGGGTTTAGGGTTTAGGGTTCAGGGTTTCGGGTGGAGAAAAAAGGGGGGCTTGGACGGCTTGGGGTACAAGGCTGAGCTCGTTGGGTAGTGTTGAGGGTGTTCTAAAGAGGGTCCTGAAGGGTTTAGGGCATAAGATTGAGCAGTAAATCCTAAACCCCTAAACCCTAAACCCCTAAACCCTACACCCTAAACCCTAAACCCTAAACCCTAAACCCTAAATTCAAAACCCTAAACCCCTAAACCCTAAACTAAAAGGGCTTAGGGTAAAAGATTCAGGGCCTCAGGGTTTAGGGCTTTGGTGGGTCGATGGGGTCTGGAAGTTGAAGAAATTGATCCGGCATAGCGTTTCGGGTTTAGGGTTTGGGGTTTAGTTTCGGGTTAGGGCTTCAAGAGTTTGGGAGCCTCTGCCGATAGAGTTGTTGAGAGGCAGGGTCCAGGGTTTAGGGTTTAGGCGCTTAGGGGTTTAGTGTGGCATCTGATGTGGATTGCACAGCTGTGTAAGCCATCTAAATTTCGGCCTTAGCCAGAAACCCCTAGTTTGTAACCCCTAAACCCTAAACCCCAACTTTGTAACCCCGAGGCCACGATGCTAAACCCTCCGTCCGGAGAATCTTGCGGGACCCTTGAGATGGCTTGATTATATCTTCAGGATGTCTTTAATCCAGTGGCACCTCAAAGCTTAACCCTAAATCCTGAATCCTGAATCCTAAACCCAAAGCCCTAAATCCAAAACCCAATACATCCTAAACCTCCAACCCTCAACCCTAAACCTGTACATCCAAACCCAAAGGCATCCCCCTAGTGGCCCCGTATGAGAATCAACTTTGGCAGTGGCCCATAAATACCCGTTTAGGGTTTAAGGCTTTAGCGGCCCATGAGTGAGTATGTCCCAGAGGCTCCGTATATACTACTATGATGAAATTTGGCCCTTAACAACCATGATAAGGCTGGTCTTTTGGGACCTTACCCTAAACCCTAAACCGTAAACCCTAAACCCTAAACCCTAATTCCACAACGGTAGTCTATTTGGAGCCTTTGCGTGTCGCACTCTTTCGCAGCCCCCTTATAAAAGCCTGGAGGAGGGTTGAAGTTTTAGGGGACTTGGGGTTTAGGGCTTGGGGTTTAGAGTTTAGGGAGTAGGGCATAGGGCTGTTGGGCTTGGGGTTTAGGGTTTAGGGAGTCCTTTGCTTGAGGTGATCCCTCAGTCGCTCTGCTGCAACGGGCGGTTACAGGTTCAAACTTACCTCCGAAGACCTGCCTTTTTTTGGAGGATCACGGCAGGGTTCTACTGTAGGGGCGTTAAGGAAAAGTACATCTACTATCTTCTGGGGGGTTCCTTAGTATTATGATAGTGCAACATAACACAAAACCCTATTCTAATCATTAAGGCCCCTGCATTCAGCACCATAGTGAGTCTTTGTAAATCATCCGCGGCTGGATTTAAAGTGGACGGTTTGAGGTTCGGGCTCGGGGTTTCGGATTCCAGTTTTCGGGTTCTTGGGTGTCGTAGGAAAAGGGACCACGGTTTGGCGTGCCCAGCGGGACCTTAACTCCCTCAGCAATCCTGCATCATACAGTTCGAGGTTTTGATCCTTCGCCCTCTTCGCTGCCGGCCAGCATTCCATCAAACCATCGCCATCGCCCTTTCAGCGAAGAACTCCACTCCCCAATCTCTTGGCATGCATGTCCGGGGGGTTGTGTGATCTACTGCTCAGTTTCGCCCCCCCCCCCCCCCCCCC